ACACGATGGCGTTCAACTTACCCTCCAGGGCTGCTCTTATCAGGCCACTATATGGACCACGACTCCTCAACATGTCGTGACCCGCCCCACGACAGATGTCAATCTCAAGCAGGGCATCCTCTCTTCCTCCAATTTGCTTCCAGGCTTGTTGGAGTGTGAACCCTTCTTTTGGGCCTGCATAGATGTGGGCAATGAACCCATCTCTCTTCATCTTCTTCCTTTGTCTCCTGTTTGTAGGGAGGTCTGACCATTCTCCTGGCTCCACTGGCAACTCCTGCTTCAGCCATTGGGGTAGCCCAGAGAAGATCGGATGCTGGTCGATGAGCTTCAGCATCCACCTCCATTCTTCTTGGAAGTCAGCGGCCGTTGATCCGATCTCAGCTCCTTTTTCTTCGAGCTCTTGGATCAGGTCTAAGGCATCCCTTCTGGAAATCTGGGGACATCCGTTGATGTGGTGAACCTTGATGTTGCCCTTCTTGGGGTGACTCAATTGAACCTCGGTGCCCCGCCATGTGATCTCACATCCTAGCTTCCCTGTGAGGAGTCCCATAGGGACGATAGGCTCCACATCATCATCCAAGCCAATCATGACACCTGATGATGTCATTGGGAGCTTTGCTTCTGTTCCGTCCGCTAAGGAAACTGTCACCTTGCGGTAGCTCCCCACGTCTTCGTTTGGTCGAGGAGGCCTGAGGGGATGCGTGGCCCCAGAGTCAATGAGGCCCATCTTCCATCCTCTTGACATCCTCTTCAACTGGAACTTCTTGAGCTTGATGGCATTGAGCTGCTGCTGTAGCCTTTGCATGATCTCCTCTTTTGTATCCTCTTCCTTTGACGCTTCCGAAGAGGCACTTGACGTCGTGGTGAGAGACTTTAGCATCTTGTTGGCTTCCTCCAAGAGATCCCGCATTGACTGCTCTGCTGGAGATCCATTGCGATCCCGCATTGACTGCTCTGCTGGAGATCCCTTGCGATCCCGTATTGACTGCTCTGCTGGAGATCGCTTGCTTGGAGATTCTTCCTTCAATTGGGGACTTGGCTCCTCCCCCTCGGCTTTGGCACTCTTCTGCTTTCTTGGGCTTCCATCGTTGGGAACTCGAGGTCGGGTGCAGCTTGGGGCGAGGTGCTCTGTGGAGCCACAGATGTAGCATCGGCGCTTCCCATCACTACCTTCATGTGGCCAGCTGCACTCCTTGCCTCTTCTACATCCGGCTTCGCTCAAATAAAACTTACATCGAGCCTTTCCTTTTGCTTCTTCTTGGGCCTCCTTGCCCTTTCCTTTTCCTTTGTCTCCTTCATCTACTTCCATTGTCTTGATCTTTGCCTGATCTCCTTTTTGGCCTGCTTGTGCTCCCTTCTTGTCGATGTGTGCTAGTTGATCAACCTCAGAAAGGATGTGGGTGGCCAATTGGCCTATGTTCACCTCTGAGGGGGCCGTGTCGACCAGAAGGCTTGACCTGATCAAGGAGATGCGAAATTGTAATTCTCTATGTCCTTCAAGTAGCTTCTTCGTCATCTTGTTCAATCCTTTCAGCAAGATTGTTGGGTCCGGAGAGACTGCTCCGATTTCTTGTGTGCGTTTCCTCCACCTCATCCACCTCCGCAATGCTGCTGGTGCTTCTGCCATGCTCTGTATTTCGCTAGGGTCTTCAAGATTGCGGAGGAGAGTCTGTTTTTCTTGTACTCCTCCTGGACAATATGTCAGTAGGAGATGTGTCAGTATACCAAACACCGACAATCGCCTTGCTGAGACCAGCTCCTCTCGCACTGCTTCTGGCAATGCCTGGAGTATCATTGTTGACACTCTGCGCTCCAATCTTTGCCATCTCTCTTCCTGCAGCATCTTCGGTGGATCTGGTAGGTGTTGAAGTCGATCCAGTGGTCCCAGCGAAAGATGATGCTGATACCACGACTCTGATTGATTGGTCATCTTTGACCACCATTCCTCAGATGACAGGGAAAGATCCGCTATCACCGGCTGAACCAGGAGCATCCAGTCTCCTAGTTGGAGGGGTCCGAGATTGGGAGTCCATGGAGGCAACGCAGGAAGGTCTTGAACTCCACTGCGAACCACCTCCACGCCCCTGATCATCCCTGTCTCCTCTTTGCCATCATTGACTTTCCCTTGCATCTCTTTCATGGTCTCCATCATCGTCATCATAAACTGCATGGTCTTTTCTGTGAAAGACTCTTCTCGGCTTGATGTGCCCTCTCGCCCCTTCGGCTTTTCTGAGTGCTGCTGTCCTGCCTCATTTGCCTCTCCTCTTGGGGTGTCCTCTGCTTGCTTTGGGGGGTCTGCAGCCTCCTCTGGGGGTTCTGCGGCCTCCTTTGTTCTTGCTTGGGGTTTGTGTGTCTCCTTGGGGGTCTCAGCAGCCTCCTTCTTCTTGGCAGCCTCCTCCAAGTCACTGGCAACCTGCTTCATTCTTTGCGACGACTTCCACTCTTCCTCTGGAGTGGAAAATTTCTGATCTTCTTCTTCTCGACTTCTGGTCTCTAAACCTTCTAGTCTATTCTTCAACTGCCTGTTCTCCTCTACCAGCATTCGCAAAGTCTTCCTAATCTCCTCCTTTTCAACTTGATCATGCATGAATCTCTCTTGATAATACTCCAGTTGGGGATCTCTCTGTGACATGACGGCTCCCCCTCTGTTCAGCTCCTCTTGAGTCAGAAAGAGTGGACGTGCTGGAGTAGTGAAGGTGTTTGCATGAGTGAACATGGATTGACTCGGCGCATACAGCCAAGGAGCTTGATCCTGAATCTGTCGGATCTGATTGAGCTGTTCCTGAGTGAACAGCGGTGCAACATCAGGAGAGGCCTCAGTGTTCCTTGGTGGAGACCGGTTGGAAGCAGATCCTCTCTCTGATTCCCCAGTCCTGTTTCCTGAAACACTGTTTGCGGCCTTAGTGGTTTCAGGTCCGTTTGCGACCTGTTCGAATTCTGGAGTCACCTTGGTGAGTGGAGTGACCTTAGCTGGTGAAGCAAAACTCTCAGGCGGCACAGGTGGTGGTGTCGAAGGAGGAAGCAACTGTGGTCGCTTCACTGCTGAATCTGCGGGGGATTGTTGAACCTCAGCCTTCGGAGTACCTTTGGAACTTTCCTTGGCAACAACAGCTTGGCTAGCTAAAACTACCTCACTGCCTCTGGTTTCGTCCCTTTCCACTTCAGTTTGATCCTCCAACGCCTTTTCACCTCTTTCCTCTGCTTCTTTCTCCATTCTTTTCTGAGCCTGCTTCATTTGTCTTTCGCCTTCCTCCAACTCACCCAAGGTGGCTTTTCTTCGTCTATCCATCAGACGCAGCTCACCTTGGGCTCATAACCTGTTGAACTGGACAGGTTTATGGCTCCCTGGTATCTTCTATTTCCCAGCCACACCTCAACGCGCCTCGTCTTTTCGCGGACAAATCAGCGATGCTTGAGGTTGAAAAAGGGCAGCTGAATTGGAACAGCTGACAGTTCAGTTGAATTGAAATGCTATGTATGCCACATGTATAAGTGAGGGTTTGGCACATCTGCAGTTAGTAACCATATTATCCCTAGGTTAAGTAGATCAACTATAATGTTTTGCTTCTTTGGTTTTGTTGTTGTTTTTTTGTTTTTGCATTTTCAAAATTGTCGTTTGTTTTTTTTTGCTTTTTCCTAATTGAGGTTTGGATTGGGTTTCGCTTTTTTTTGGATTGGTTTTCGCTGTTTTTGTTTTTTCTTATTCCTTAGAAGTAGGCTGAAGGCATTTCACAACATTAACCACTAAAAAAAACTTCACTAACCACTCTGAATCATCGTTCTCCTAGATTTTCACTAACCATATCATAGCAACCATATCATAGCAACCATATCATTATTCACTATTCATCACAAACCATATCATCAACCACTATGAATAAAAAAACATCACTAACCACTATATCATATCATTAACCACTATCACAAACCACTATCATGATATACTGGTTGGTGGTTTCAACCCCTCTGAACAATATATGAGTCAATTGGGGTTACTATTCCCAATATATGGAAAAATAAAACATGTTTGAAACCACCAACCATATATATACATCATATTTTCACCATATGTTCACCATATTTTCACCATATATTCACCATAAATAATGTCATATAGTGACCATATTTTCTGGTGGGCTTGGCAATGCTTGGCACCTCCAGATGTGCCACTTTGCCGACGGCGCTGTCGGCTCAAAGGCTCCTCCAACTGCTCCGCGTACGGCAAGTCCGTGCCGCCGTGTTGCACCCAGGGGCCTCGCGGTATCGCACCGTGGCACCGTGGGAAAGGTATGGCAACAAGACGAATCAGGGGATTGTGGATGATTACTACGAAATATGTTCTGGATTATTATGGAATGTCATGTATGGATGATTGTGGATTATTTATGGATTATATGGATTATTATGGATTGTTATGGATTCATCACCCGCTGGTCACCCTTAAGCTTCGCTCAAAAACCCTGAGACTGGCGCCTCGTGCTGCACCCCGACCCTTCAGCGCTTCTTCCTCCGCGTCCTCGAAGTCCCAAGGGGGCCTCAGCCAGTGGAAGGGATGGCCGATACCCTCCAGCCTGTGAAATATGAAGAATGGTAATGGTAGTAATAGTAAAATAAATAGCATTAAGATAATAACCGTAATAGTAGTAGTAATAGAAACAGTAATAGCAGTAATTGTAGCAATAGAAAAACAAAAGTAAAAGCAATAGTAGTTTCTAATCGTCGCAGGAACAGTAGTGATGGTAATAGTAGTAATTAATAGTAATGATATTAGTACTAGTAATCGTAATCGTAATGGTAAAAAGTAATAAAAAAATAGTAATAGAAATTGTAATAGTAATAGTAATAATATATTATAGTAATAGTAGTTTCTAATCGTAGCAATAGTGATGATAGCAATTGCAATGATAGTAACAGGAATCAAAATGACCCACAATTGAAAACAGCAAGTTGCCGGTTGCTGAAACGATTTTACTTCAAGATAATGTTTGGGCATAGATTTATGGCCAGTATTTGGCATGTCTTAGCTCTGTTTGAATAAGATTTCAGCCAATTGGAATATCCAGTTGGACAACATTCAATAAGCATATTGCAGGCATACACTGACACATACTGTAGACATCTCAGTCATGCATCATGTTGACGTAAACTGAGGCAATGTCTCCCCATCTTTTGAGCCATTTTGGGCTGCACCAAGCAATCTCATTGCTTCAAAATAAACCATCTCAGAAAATAAAATGAACACTCTTGAACACCCCAAAAATGTTGCAAAAAAAACCAAGGTCGAAACCAAGTAGTCCTCCAGCGCTTTAATTGCACCTGGTAATCCTGTAGTGATATGACTTTATATGAACTTTTATTGTCATTACATTATATTACATTGTGTTACATTATATTGCAATATGGTTCTATCATATACTATGGTGTACGATATAATACTATATCATGCTATGTTATACTATAGTATAGTACATATATATATATATATTGTATGATATCATATCAATTCATATCAAATCATGCTATATGATTTAATACAACACAATAATTATATATTATATGATATCATATGTTATAACATCTAACCGAATAAAATAATAAAACATGATATGTTATAATATCATATCATATAACATAATATCATATAGTACGATATCATATAGTACAATATCATATAGTATCATATAATACTATATAGTATAATATAATATCATATAATACCATACAATATACAGATTATATATAATATAATATAATAATATAGTATTAACACAATATGCAATATCATATCATAGATATTATATATGTATATTACTCTAAAATAAAATATATGGTATATCAATGTATATCATATTTCATTGGGTTACATCAAATCAGATCATGTTGTATCCTCCACCGCGCCTCCGCCGCGGCGCGGCTGCTTTGGTGCCTTCGCGCAAGCGCATGGCTTGTTGTGGCTGCCTCTCCTCCCGAGCTGTTGGGGTCCCAGGGTCCCATCTACCGGTGATTCAATGGTGATTGCTGTTGCGTTAGTTACCCCTCAGGTAATTCAACATAGCATTTGAAAATGGCCCTTCATATACATATGAGAGAGAGAGAGAGTTCATTTACTTGCAGTAGTAACACTAAGTTATTTTTCCTGGCTATGTTGAATTACCAGGAGGATTCATAATCTTAAAAAAGAAACAGACCGCATAGCATATATAATCATATACATACATATATATATATATATTGTGTAATCCCATATAATGACCAGTCATGAATGGCTCAAATTTCAACGGTTACTGTAGTAATGCACCATCTGATTAGTCAAAAACAAGGAACCACCAAAAAGATAGAAGTTGGTCAATCCGATTCTAAAATCGGATTGTTGTAAAGTATTTGTTCGATCTTTTCGGGGGGTTACTAGACATGACAAATTCTTATAGTCATTATCCACTACAAGTAGAGATTCATCGTCTAAGAGTAGCTTTGTATCGCAGATGATCACTATGGAATCCATTCGCTTGTTATAATCCCTTCTAACCCATAGGATCCATGTATGGTGTATATGCTAACATTTGGGGTATATTGATGATAAATGTTACCATATATAGCATACATGGATCCTATGGGTAATGGGAAGTATCCTCTTATACTTATCACAGTTATATTAGTTATATTCCACTTTCAAATACTGCCTACTGATGCCCCATGGTTATTTGAGTTGGTTTATAATTCCAATAACTAGGCTCCATGGTAACTCGAACTAGTGTGGCATACTATGGCTTGTAAACCAACTTATAACTGCGGGGGGCACCACGTTTCACCTAATGATACATTCAAATAGAGCTACCCTCCAGTAAATTAACATAGACCCTGAAAATCACCCATTTTTAATGGCAACTAGTCTTCCAACCCCTATCTGCCAGGGTCTATGTTAATTTACCAGAGGGTAAATCATAAGCATCATAACCCCCAGCTCCTCGTCGTGCCAAGCACGAGCCGAAACAGCTCGGGACACCAAGCGCCATTGCCTTGAGTTCAAGGCTTCCGTTGGGCTAGCCATGGCAAAAACCATCGGGAAAACCCACCTTGTTTGCGGGACAACCCATGGGAAAACCATGGGAAACTGAGTGAAAAACCGTGAGAAATGGTAATTTCATAGGAAAATCAACTATTATATGGTAAAGACATGTAAAACCTATGGGATTGAACCATCAAAATGGTGGACTTATGAAAAATGAAGGACTTACACCATTTTAACCCTGGGATTATTGATCTATAAGAAAATATTGCAGTTAACCAAACATGGGGATACATACATAGGATATAATGGGATATACAAGCAACTTCATATAAAAAAAATTGCGTTTGTCCAGCAATGGGGAATGGAAAATGATGATTGAGCAGTGGATGGAATGGTTTGTCCCCCATTTTCAGACACCTCAAATTCTGGATATCTTCTGAAGCTGCTATGGATCTATGGGAAATCACTGTGAAAATAGACGGGGACAGTGAACTTGTAAATTCTAGATTCAGTTGACTTCGACTTTTACCAGATCTTTTCAGACCGCCTTCGCCTCTGCTTGGGTGCATCCTATATACGTGGGAAACTAGTTTTGAGCTAGCTATCCTCACCCATGGCAAACAAGCAAAGTAGTAAACTGTCCATCTAGTCGATGTAAGAAAACAACATACTAACAATAATATACAAGAATTAGTAACAATTATCATCATATCCATCTTTGTATGACTGTTGTTCCTATTGTTACTATAAACTAAACTTCCGTCAGCTGCCACCGAGTCTCAGCAGTGCCCCATCGTCAGCACCCAGCGTCAAAAGCGCTGCTGCCGTGGTCGGATCTGCGCCCGGCAACGTCGCCATGCACGAGACGAAGCCCCCGTGTCCATCGTAGCGATGGAAGCCTCCCATGTCGCATTGATGGGATGAAACGTCACGAGAATCACAAAGGGCTTTATCAGAAAAAATTAGGGGGTATATTAGAGTGTGTGCATATATATCTATACATACACAGGTTGGGATTAAAATGTGATATACTTATGTGTATATATATATATATATCGATAATTTTCGATATGTATATATATATATTATGTTTCTGTGTGTGTGTGCATGTATGCACGACCTGATATGCCAAACGATGTGAACATACCATCCATCCAGTGTATAAATCGACAAAAAGATATGGAAAGCCCATTGTTTCTCTATCTATCTATCTATCTATCTATCTATGTATTTATCTATCTATCTATCTTATATTATCTTATCTTATCTTATCTTATCTATCTATCTATCTACCTTCTATCTATCTATACGATATATATATATACGACGTATGCATATATATATATATACACATCTATATTATATCTATGTATATATATATATACATCTATGTACATGAATTAGCTGGAGGCTATATGGGATATCATTCTTGGTAAAACGCCCATTCCGTGTGGGGCCATCATTTGCACCCCACACCTTGCTTTCCCGACAACGACGGAAAGTGGAAGAGCGTTATCTGGTGCGAAACATCACCGGCCGCCAGCAGGGCTTCACCTGCAGTGTCTTCACAGGGACCATCCCTTGAGCGCTATGGTTCAATAATGTCCTTTTCATAAAAATAGAGGGGCCGGTTTGGTATACCATCTATCATCATTTACCTGTTGTTAAAGGGGTAAACAACCCCCTCTATTAATCAACCAACCAATGGGAAAAGGACATCCATGCTATGGTTAGCTGGGTTACAATATGGGGGGTTCTTCAAATGTGAGTACCCCAAAATAGATGGTTTATGATGGTAAAGCCTATTAAAATGGATGATTTGGGGGTACCCCCATTTTAGGAAACACCCATATGCTTAATCACCTAGGTGGTAGTGACCCAATGACAACCCATCCCAGATCGGTATACCCAAGAATAAACACAAATAGGAAATGGTTTATCCTTTGGTTAACCACATTCAGGGGACCCGGTCACGGTCACCAACCGTTTTGCGAATTCCAAGAATCATCAAGAATCATCCAGGTGATCTTAGCCACTTAAGGTTGGACCTTTCGGCCCCACTCTCCCAACCCCAAACTGAGATTTTTTCAGAAGCCGTCCAGGGGCCGTCCGCGAAAAGAACTGAGAGATGTGGCTCCTGGATCCCGACCTTCGAAAATCTCTTGGCATCCCATCATTTCCCCAGGGCCCATCAAAGTCATGTGGTGAACCCAAGGTTTTTTTGAAGCGTCCCAAGTCATTAGCATTTTGGAAATGGGTGGCTTTACCACCTCATTCCCACATTTTTTTTGTTGATGGCATTGGGGTAAACCCACATTTATCACAATTTCCCTAAGTAAAATTGACGGTTCCTCACATCTTCCCTCCAGGCATTGGTGGAGTTTCCACGCCTGTCACCGCGTGAAAGGCTCGACAGCACTTGATCCCTGAGATGCCGAAGTGACGCTGGGCCGCCCACATGCCCATCCTGAGCCGATGCGAGCAGTAAACAACGGGATAGTAACACTAATTCCTACAAGTAACAATGAATATTAATCATAGGAACAATAAATAGTAACAATATTCCATCAAGGGAAAATCCACAGGACCCCTGTCTGTGGATGGGTCAATGATTGCCACCACAGATTGACAGGTTACCAGGTTTAGTAACCGTCGAAGTATTGGGATACCCAATGACTTGACCTATACACAAATGGTTTTAACATGTTACATGTAAAATTCCATGAAATATGATGGTTAGATATGGGGTATGCCTGTAAATGTATGTAAATGTTCCCTTAAACCAATCCAATGACAAATGGCTCAAACCCGAGATGTGTCTCAAAGAGAAGAGCAAGGTGAGACAAGAACAAGCCAATCGAAATGGGAAGCTCAGACTTTCTTGCCCACCACAAATGGATGATGATGTGCTCTCGCTGATATTCGCTGATCAAATGTGAAAAAATTAAGCTTTGAGAAGTTGCTGGGCAAGTGCCAACAATTCACAAATCTGAAATACACCGTTTTCGCGATGATTCTCCCAATCCTGACCATCACTCACAGTGAGGTCGCTCAGTGAGGCCGGATAGGTCAAATAATCTGTATGTGTATGTATATATATATATATATATATTGTAATATGTGTATGTATATATCTATGACATCTATGATACTAATAGTAATAATACTAGTAACAATAATAGTAGTGATAATAACAAAAATAACAATAAATAGTAAGAATAGTGATAATAATTCATAAAAAGGATCATGGCAATGATAACAGTAATCGTAAGAATAGTAACAATGGTAACAATAGTAGTAATAAGTACAGTAAAAACGATACATATACAATCATATTAAATTTTATTACATATATATATATACATGTCAAAATAACATATATAAATCTGCAATGCCCAATAGTTTGATGATTGTTATCATTGCGGCTATTATGTGTTGATAATCATGAAATGTTGTTGTTGTTGTTCGTCATTCACGGTTGATAATCCCAAAAGAATAACCGTTTATATTACTTGCAATATATATATATATATATATGTATAATGATTCTCAACTCAACTAATATTATGATGATTATCATTATCCCTATTCACATCATAACTATGGCTAATAACTATCGAAGATATAACTATTGCTATAACCAATATTAAACTAGTGCTATTATCAACTGTAAAATATCAGGTATTGATTATATATGAACTATTAAACTGTTGATAGCATCTATTAACTACAAACCATTTAACAATTAACATCTGTAGTTAACATCTATTAACGAAAAAACATCTGCAGTTCTTATAACCATTGATAGTATTAACTATATAATTGATATATTATATATATATACACTATAAGAACTTGGGCCATCTGCCCCTCGACCTCGGCAAGTCACGTGTGCCAGGCCATTGGACAGCTCCAGTCCTTCCAGCTGCAGTTCTTCACCGTTTCCTGCGTCACGCGCTCGCCGCTCAGCACGTTGAAGTACAGCACCTGCCATGGGATCATCCAGGGGATCATCCACTGGGAACCCCGTCTTTTTCATCAACCAACCGGGGTTGGTTTAGCAGACACTGCTCTGCAAAAAGCTTGTGGAAACCCCAAAAAAAACCATTCAGGCCTGGCCATCTTTGGAGTTGGTCATCAAATATGTTCCCTCGGCGCTGCGCTGCATGTGGGTCACCGAACTGGTGTTGCCTGGTGCCGTCATGACTTCGGTCACCAATTTGCAGCAATGGGTTGTACCAATGACTTGTCATGAACCAGAAAACCATCCCCAAGTGGAGGTCAGTTGGGGTCGTTTTCCGGGCTGCACCGTCATGATCTTTGTCCTACGCTCCGAGGCCTTGCAATACAAAGATATAGAAAGCCAGCCCATGGACTATCTGCTGGTGTCAACCCATCCCAAAATCTGGGAGCCCAGCTCTTTAAGCATCCCTTAAATCCTGTGTCAATATGGCAGTGGGTCAAAACCTTGTACCCCTGGTGAACATCAAAATAGCTGGTAAATGGATGTTCATCCCCCTAAAAATGGTATGTATAGGTATTGATCCATAGCCATATCCCATCTGGGTGTCTTGACAATCAGGGGTCCTCCGCTACGCCCTCGCCTTTCAGAAGTCTCAGTGGCGACTTGGAACTACTAGAGCTGAAGATGTAGACCGTCTGATCCCAACTGCCAACCGCCAGCATGTCGTCCTGCCAG